AAGCAAGAAATGTAGATCACAGGCTTCTATCTCATGATCTAAACTAGCCATCCCATTCCCTGCCACCATGTCTGCATTCCAGCAATCAGAAGTAAAGGGGGGATGAAGGTCATGTTCTTTCCTCTTAGGGTATGGCTTAGAAGTTGCACACATCGCATGCACTCATACCTCATCGCTCAAAGCTAGTCATACGGCCACTTGCAGCTTCAGGGAAGGCTAGAGTATGCAGTTTTCAGCAAGGTGGCCAGATGCCCTGCTAAACTCAGTTCTGTTTCCAAAGGAAAAGGAAAGAATGGATATTGGAGGACAACTGGAAATTCCTGCTATGGGCCATTTTTGAAATAGTTAAGCAGTTAATATGTGTATTCAGATATGTAAACATTCATGAAGACTATAACCTATCTCTCTACATGGGGGAGAAAGAAAATTGTATAACTAATACTTATGAATATTATTCTGCATATGTTAAGGCAAGAGTTTGAGATCATGACAAGCTCTTCAGCAGAGAAAGGGCATCAAATCTGAGATTTGTTAAAGAAATAGGAATGGGGAGAATTATAGGACTAAATTTCCAAAGGTAACAGAATAACAGTCACCATCTTGACCCTCCTCTTCTGAAGTCTCAGAGAGCAACAATCAAGATTCCTAAATGTGGTTGTGTGGGTCGTGCACCCAACAATTCTAGAGGGTACCACTCCCATCATAGTCACCATAATGATGATTTTCTAGTAGGTGGGAGTAAAGGTTCCCGAGGGGGTGCTTCTTCCCAAGTCTTACAAAGGTGTCCTTTGGACCAGCTACAGTGCTAGCAATTGCATGCCCTTTAATGCTACTGAAGGATAGAAGGAATGAATGTGGTACTGTTTCAGGTCCTTGATTATTCTTTTAAAAATATTCCCAAGGGTAATAAGGTAAGTGTCCTTTATGTTCCTGAGGAATCAAAACTTCCGAGTGTAAACACATGAAGAGATGCTCAAGATCATTCGCTAATATGGAAAAACAAATCAAAATCACAATGAGACACCTCTTCACATCCATTAGGGTGGCTACAATCAAAAAAGACCAATAATTACAAATGTTGGCAACAATGTGGAGAAATTAGAACCCTCATACATTGCTGGTGGGAATATAAAATGGTATATTCCCAAGGGAAGTAAAAACTAAATGTCTACAGAAGAACCTGCATGTTAATATTCATTGCAATACTATTCCCAATAGCCAAAAGGTAGAAACAACCTAAATGTCCATCAGCTCATGAGTAGATAAATAAAATGAGGTGTAGCCATACAATGGAATGTTATTCAGTCATAAAAAGGAATCAAGTACTGATACATATTACAACATGGACAAACTTGAAACCATGATGCTAAGTGAAAAAAAAAAAGTCACAAAAGGCCACATGTTGTGTGCTTCCATTTACATGAAATGTCCAGAATAGGCAAATTCATAGAGCGAAAGGAGACTAGTGGTTCCCTAGGCAGTGAAGAGCGGGAAAGGTGTTCAGGTTGCAAATGACTGTTACTGGGTATAGGGCTTCCTCTTTGGGGCCATGAAAGTATTCTAAATTTGACTGTAGTGACCCCAAACCTTTGAATTGTATGCCTTATAAGAGTGAATTATACAGTATGTGAATTATACCTCAACAAAGCTGTTAAAAATAAATAAAATAAAAGCAGGTACAGGAGAGGCTTCTAACTGTGACCACTAAAGGCATCAGGGTTGGAAGAAGTAAAGACAATCATGTTTCCCCAGGAGTTTCATGGTCTGTTCTGGGTTTTTCAAAGCATAAGTGACACTGGATAGTAGATTAAAAAAAAAAACATTTTATAAATTACTACCTTGTATTAAATAACATTGCGTGAAATGTCAAGATTTTGTCCAAAACACATATTATCAACAGGGATGGCATCACCCCTAATGGGGCAAAAATCCATTCTTGGAAGCCAAAAAAACATCGTCTTTTACATATAAAGCACAGGTGCATATATTACATAAACAGATATACAGTTTACCTCTGGCATTAAAGTTTCATAGGGGAGTGGTGACTAGGGAAAATAATTATCTAAAAAGGATCCTTGGGTCCGTGATTTTCTGATTCCTCACTCATGTATATTATGAGCTCCTGCTGTGTTCATTAAACTATTACAAGTTGAAAAATTTTGGCACCTGGAAGTCCCAGCTTTTCTGTGTAAGATACTATTGTTTCCTAACCATATGTCATCTATCAAGTGTTCTTCTGTCTTATGCTGAGAATTTAGGTCTTGAAACCAAATGGTACCACCAGCCAGGGAACTAAAAACAGAGGTGAAAAAGGTTTACCTACGTATTATCTCTTCTCAAGTTTTCTCTTCCACTCTCACTCCCACCTCTGAAAAAAAAATCTTTGCCAGGAAGGATAAACTAGGGGATATTTCCTGATTTGCTTCAGCTACTACCGTCCCCCATCCCTCCCCCTTCACAGAGGAGAAGACTTACAGGGCAGCCCCCCACCACCCCAGGCTGAAGAGGTCAGGTAGATGACATTATTCCCTAAACACCTAAGCAACCTCTCCTTTCTCTTCTCTTCCCCTTCCTCTGTTAACATAACCTTCCTGTACAGCACCTTCCCCTATCTTAATTGGTCTATTCTACCCAATTTCAAAGTTGAAAAGGATCTGATTTTAATTTTCAACTGAACTTCACCAGAGTGCACTCTCCCAGAAAAACGCTTTCACATTAACTGTGGAATAAAGAGCTTTGACTCCTAGTAAAGACATTCCAGACCCCGAAATAAGGTGGAGGGGATTCCTGCTTCAGTTCCTGGGGTGGAGGAAAGGTGGGGAACAGATCAGAAGGCAGGGCATTCAGCCTTTGTCTTCTGGTCCCTGTGTCCTCAGACTCCTTTCTTCCTGTAGGAAGGACACCCCCAGCTGGGCTTTATCGATCATCCTTGGTTGACCTGGGAATGATTGGGCACAGATTGGCCACAGCCCTGGGACTTTGAGCACCTACTGCCTAGGGTAGGGATCCCACGACCCACTTATTCCCCCACTATTCCCAAACGCTGAGCATCCAGGGCCCACCTTCCCTGTTCTTGTGCCTATTTTAGGACCACCACTTCTGGGCTGGTCTCTTTCTTCTCTCAACATCAATGGAGATGTCAGCTGGCTATTTACCTTCCCCCAGGCAAGCAATCTGCCTGAGAAGGGGGTATGTTTGTCCTGATCGTCAGTCCTGAGTAACAGTGCAACCAACAGGTGTGTCCACAATCCAAGCATTTTTTTTCTTTTTACCCATCAGAAATATTTTGTTTAGTTCCCTGTTTTCAATTAAGCATTTTTAGGTTTTGACTCAACTGTTGGCCCTTCTAGTCTATTCAGGTCTCTTCCTAGTGGAATTCAACTGTTCTTAATCTGCTCTTTACAAAGTTGAGTTTGAATAGTGAACATTTAAATGAAAATAAGAAACTACGTTTTCACAGGAAGTAATCTGGAATCTTACAGTGAAACTATCTTATCTAATGGCACTGAAGTACAAGGAAAGCAAAAAGGAATTTTAAAAATTTCCCCCCAAACAGCTTTCCTCATTTCATTGTACTCAATGATATGCTTTAAATGAAATTATTCCAGGGTGTAAAATAATAAGTAAAACATGAAGGCAGCTCAGAACAAGAAACCAGGATCAAGCTGAGATCTCCAATTTGCATGTGGTACTCTGCAATTATTTTTATGACCTACTTTCATACATTTTTAATATGATAGAAAATAAACTCTACTGTCAAAACTTCTCATTCTTTCTACAATCTTGCAACATAGCTGGTGGGCTCTCCTCTGTTCTAATCAAGTGGCTGGGCAACCAATTTCCCAAGCCTCAGCCTCCAGGTTTAAATCACAGCATAACCAGCGTCTCTCCCTGCTCTCTGTACCCTTGAGCAATCGTTTATGTAGCAAATACATAGCAAGTGCCTACTGCCTCTCAAGCTCCACTGATATACATTTCCATTATCCCAAGACTCTTATTTGAACCTTGCATTTCTATAAAAAGTCCACAGTCACTACAACTAAGAATTCTTGTTTGGCAAAGTCTGATGTCAATGGTGATCCTCTGGGCACAGACCCAAACGTCTGCTTCCACCCCTTACCATCTAGGATTTGGGTTGGCAGTTGTCACTTGTGTGTGAATTGTCAGGGTGATGAAACCGATTAGTGAGAAACAAGCACATGACCCTGTTAGGGTCTGCAGTGCTTTTGTAACGGACCTCTAGGATCTTGCCTGAGAACCACAGAGCTTCCACAAAGAGTCTACGGAACAGGGTGATCCCAAGAAAAACAACTTTCCTGCCTTTTTTTGGGGGGGGGGGGAACACACTTGTAAGTTCAGGACTGGATGTGAGTCCTAGTATATTTCATGAAATAGTCTCATTAATTTATATTCACCCTATGACAAAAATCCCTGTAAATCCTTTTGTACAGTTAGGTCATTTTCCAGCCTGAATAGGTGAATATTATTATTTCCTACAGTTTTGACAAAATCACACTGTTTTCCCAAGAATTCCCTTTTCTTTCTTTTTAACATAAAAGTACACACAGATTTACCGCTGGCACAAACATAAAAATCCAACAGTGGCCATTCATCTTGGGTCATTCCTCATAAATGTGTGTAAAATCCCTAATATGCTTACTGTTCTTTTGTTCCCCTTAATTCTTAACATTCCCCCTCTTTGTAGTAAGGATGCTATAATTCTAGCTGGCGATCACAGGCTTCACCAAGAGGATCATCGTCATACTGAAAACTGAAGTTGCCGATTTACACCCAGCAGAAGGGGAGAGAAAATTACCCTGGCCACTTCCAGTGATCTGTAAGTGCCCAAAGTTACCTAAGCGACACATGAGTCTGAAACAGACTATAGGAGGCAAAGTATAGCACCTGTTAAACACTGCTATGTTCATAACTTTGTGTTAGTGAAAACGCCTTAGCCACCTGCAGGAGACTTTTGGTTTTCTGCTGTAAAATGCACTTACCCTAAAGAGTAGAGGCGGCATTGCTTGCTGCGGATTTGATGAGCTAAGCCAAACCTGTCATCAAGACAGACTGACCAAGGCTTCTTTGCAGGGCTGGAGTCGGTAGCTAGGCTGTCTGTGCTCATGTGATTGCATGCAATCTGCAAGGATTGGAAATCAATGTGAATAATTTAAAGCACTGGATGATAAATGGCAAGTGGGGAGTTACTGCTTCCCCGGTCCCTGAAAGCCGTAACAGTAGAGTTATGTCCTTCTCCACTGCCAACTACTCCTCTCCCCCCAAGGAAACACAAGACTGCTGTCAAATGTTTGGAGGAACTCCAAATACTGGATCATAAGGAACCTCGTGGAGACTATAGACAGGTTTGAAGGGAAGGGAAGAACTGCTACAGCCGTATGTTCAGAGTATGCAAGGGAGAACAGGTCAGGAGCAAAGGTGGCAGAAAGGAGGGGTCCCGAGAAGCTTTGCAGAGAGGTGTGAATCCTGGAGGATGAACTGAAGTTGACCAAGAAGCTGAGATCAAGAAGGACATTTCAGATGTGGAGAATAGTGCTGGCAAAACACAGAGGTCTGTAATCCACAGGGTTTCTACTGGAAGTTGTGAGATCTGACTGCGAGCATAGGGCTCAGAGGGATACAGATGATCAATTCCTTATCTCAGGTAGATAAACCGGGGCCACCACGGTGCAGAAAGGTAGCACAAGTTAGCCGAGGTAAACAGCTGATCAAAGTCAAGTAAAATTAATTCATAGTCCCTGCTCTCAAGACCATACTGTTAGTGATAAACTGTTCTAATGAGCTTCCTCCTATGGGAGAAGAGTGAGCCCCACACAGGAAGGAAGCTCTTCCTGAGCGAACCAAAGCACTTCTTTTAACTCACCCATCAAAATTAGATAAGGAAACCAAGGCGAACGTGTATCTAAATCAAGCAGAAGAAAGTCTCTGATTTCAAATGCACATTAAGCAAATATACTGTGTAAAGAATTCTGACTAGTGTTTGAGGCCGGCACAGTGTGCGTGTCTGAGGTGGCTGGAGCCAAAGAAAGCACATTCTATGGCCAAGGTATTCTTCTGTGGCCAGGAGCACTTTACTGAGCATCAGTTTCCCCCTAATCCCTCAAAACTCCCATCGCCATCAATGTGCTCCATGTCATATCACAAACAGACTGCTCCAGGCGCAAAGGAGGTTCATTGCTTTAATTCACTGGAAAATATAACAGCAAATGATTTTCTTCTTAAGAAGATATTCTGGGGGCACCTGGGTGGCTCAGTCGGCTAAGCGTCCGACTCTAGCTCAGGTCATGATCTCTGGGTTCATGCGTTTGAGCCCCGTGTCGGGCTCTGTACTGACAACTCAGAGCCTGCAGCCTACTTTGGATTCTGACTCTCTTTCTCTCTCTCTCTCTCTCTCAAAAACAAACATTAAAACAATTTTTCATAAAATTTTAAAAAAGAAGATATTCTGGATTTGCCCAATTCTTTTATTTAAGGAAGTTTCCAGAATTCTAATCTGAAAAGAGTATATGCATGTAGCCTATTCAACTGATACAGCATCTCCCTTACTTTTGCTGTGATCTATGGCTACTGGCCTGGAAAAATCATCCAGCACTATTTATCAGAGAGGTAAATGAGAGAGCCTATTGCTAGGATTTGGACATTTTAGAGGGAAGTCTAAATGTGAAACCCTATATATATATTCTTTTCCATCACCAACATCTTTCTACTTCTCTACCCATGACCCTCATTTAAAGGAAAAAATAGAAAATTGAATTGAATCTTCTCTCAAGCAACTATTACAGAATACATTTATTAACTGGGTATATCAGCATGTTAATTTGTATAATTCATTTCCTCCTATTCACCCACAAATAAATGGAAATTATGCCTCTGTGTGCCCATCTCCTAGTCCCCACTCACCCACCAAGGAAGGAAAAACTGCTAATCTAATTAAATTTCAGTGTGCTCATTGGGCCTGTCTTACTAGTGGGCTGGTTACTATGCCCCAAACATCAGCATCTTCATTGTCATTGTGTCCCATGCTCTCCTCTCCTCTCACCCTGCAGGTAGGCAGATAGGTAGGCAGTTCTGTAGGCCCCGAAAGCATACCTGGACCTCATAAGTCCGTGCCATTTGCTATAGGTCAGCTTCCTGGAGTATTTTTATTAAAGTGGTCTGATGATTCCCATTTATTTGTGTGCACTTCTCCCAAAGAGTCTCCATAATGACAGACCATGATACGGATGCTCACAGGTTCTTGTTCATAACTCCCTCCTAACACCATTAAAACTCCTCTCTCACCCATCCCTCCGTGTTTCCCAAGGTACAGCCCACCTACATTCTGATGGCCCTGGGAGGGACTGAAACATACAGATTCTCAAGACCCACTCTGTAAAGTCAATCTTTAAGACTGATGCCTGGGAACAGGCCTCTTAATAAGCTGCCCCAGGTGATTCTTATGCAGGTAGTCTTGTGAATTTACAGGAACCCTTTTGTAGAGCCCCCTCTGGAAGGTTCCAGCCTGGCCTCACCTGTGCCTTAGCCAATTAAAGGAAGAAAGCTCCACTTGGGCCAGAGTTTTAAAATGAAAACAGCAGCCCCTGCAACCCCACTCCTAACAAAGAGTCAGAGGCAGGCAACAATAATTAGCCACAGGCCTCTAAGAATCAGGTACTATTAAGGGCCAAGAGTCATGGCTTTGAGGCTCAGTTGCCCTTACTTTGCCAACGTTGGGGAGTAGAGTTTTATTTTATTAAAGGTAACACTTTAAGCATCTCTTCTTCTTCCATAGATTTCATCTTGCACAGATATACCCCTTTTGGAATGGCATTCTTTTCCATTCAATTTCCCTGCTAACCTCTCCTAGCTCAAAAATACATATCATGGGTTTTTCCATTTTAACCATTTATTAACCATCTTATTGATAGACATTAGCTTTTGAAAACAACTAGGAGCACTCAGTAAAATTCAGCTCTTAAAAATTAATTAAATATTGATTTTTCAAACTTTCTTGTTAAGATTTATGACCAGGGCTTCAATAAACTCTCGCAAGCAAAATAAGCGAGGGCAATAACTCCTAGCTAAGCTCCAACTCCAGTAATTATGTTCTCTCTCTCTAATTCCCCTTGTAATTTTAGCTGTAAAAGCAAATTGGGCCCAGACAAAGGAGGAGAAACTCCAGGGGGAAAAATGTTTTTTGAAATACATTTTAGTTATTTAACTTAAAGGGATTAACCAATTTTTTTAAAGATTTTATTTTTAAGTAATCTGTATATCCAACGCAGGGCTCAAACTCACAGCCTTGAGATCAAGAGTCGCATACTCCACTGACAGCGACAGCCAGGTGCCCCTTAAAGGGATTAATTTATTCTCATTTCATTTGGCACCCAAAAAGATGGAATAGAATTTCTGGCAACGCACAAGTACAATCTGGCAAAGCGAGCCCTTAAAATTTGGGGACTTCTGGCAAGAATCACTTCAATGATCAACTGTATGTTCATGTAATACTATTATTTTGAAAGGCAACATCTAAGGAGAAAGTTGTATTTTTGTTGCTTTTATCCCTGTGTGTGTGTGTGTGTGTGTGTGTGTATAGCAGTAAATATAATAGATACTACTGTTACAAACTCGTAGAGTCTGCATCTCCAGGGCTTGGATTTTTATGTTATTCTTACAAATAGATAGATGCATAGATGATTAGATAGTTAAATGGATGGATAGGTGGATAGAGAGATGGATAGATGAATGGGTAGATGGCTGGCTGGTTGGATAGATGATAGCTAGATAGCTAGGTAGTTAGATAATGTTTTAAGATCTACTTTTTTTTTAAAAAACAGCAACTGTTGTTTAGATTAATTTTGTGCTGAAAGGCCTGCTTCCTAGAGGCATATGGTTTGGGGGTGGACATAAAAATCTGGATCTGGAGCCTTCCCTTAGAACAGAGCACTGCGTTTATGATTTAACCATTTCTTTTTAGCATTAGTGTATCATCAACTCCAGAACTCAGAGATGTAATTGTGATCTTTCACATTAGAAAACAATACCTAATTAAACTGAACTTGATGTTGCATACACACTACCAAACACCGTATCCTCTGGGGTTTCATTAAGAATTCAGGTCTCCAATCATGCCATCAGGGCCACCACAGCATGCAAGCGCAGGAGTGCCATCCTATTAAAGTCTAATGCCACACTGTCCCCGGCCCTGTGCTTCTGTTTCCAAGCCCCCCTGGCCTAGGGAAGCACCCCCCCCAACACCCATCTGTTCACCCCTGTCAGAAAACACACAACTTCTCTTGCATCCTAGCTGTTTGCCAGTCTGTTACATATTTAATTCAGGTTTTATATCCCAGTCAGTGCCGGCCACAGAACTGGTGCTCGACAAATGCTTGCTGAATTGAAGAATGAATAAATCAATGATGAGCACATCAAATGCTGGGCCTTGCTGTACAAGCTTGAACACAGATTTGAGGAAGATAATTTTTTTTTAAGCAGCACAAGAGAATGGGGGTGGAATTTGCTTTAGTACCTTCAGAAGGTTTTTTTTCCCCCTTGGCCGTTATGACTCACTACTGCTAACTACGGAAATTTTAGGTAATAGTGACTCTAATATTCTTCCAGTTTTGTAGGCTTTCATTGTCAAGATGAATTCTAAATGAAGCCTAAGCCCCTAAGTCAGCCAAAAACAAACAAACAAACAAACTGCCTCTGCATTACGTAGAGATAGGGAAGGAACACTGTTGAGCAGAAGATTCTGATTAAGAGTCAGTGTCATCTCTGATGGGCTCCCACCTGCTGGCTTCCTGGTGACTTGGAAGTACAGAAAAGCACAGGACTTCACCTGGGTAAAATGACCCCTGATTACAAAACCACTGTGAGGTCTGGAACTTTATCTCCGTTTTTTTGGAGGATGAAAATCCTTCTAGTGAACTTCATAAATCAACTGTGTTCATCAAGCTGAATATATGTCCATGTATCTACTTTCCCAACTAGTTGGTTGGCTGCTTCTGGGCAGAGACTGTATCCCCAGGGCCTGGCACAGTCCCTGGGCCGAAGCAGGTGCTTGAAACTACTTACTATCAATCCTACACTATTCTCGGCACAGTACAAGGTCACAGAACCAGGAGAAACCTAAGAAATAATTTAATAACCTGATTCATTTGAAGATCAGAACATTGAGAACCAGAGAAGCAAAATAAATTGCTCAGGGTCACATTACACTGCATTGTGGGATGATTTTCTTTTCTCCTCAAAAATTTTCTCCTCTCAGCTCATAACTCATGGGAAAAAATCCAAGAGGGGCTTGATACAACCCTTTCATGTCTCGCAAGCTGCTTCTAAGTAAATATGCCTTTTATAAGTTATAGAACATTAACCCGAAATACATATAAAATGGAATCTAGAGGCTTTTACTTGGTCAATTTATTTGGAGGGGGGGTGGAGCCCCTAGTTCTCAAACCCAACTCGTAAGTTTAACACCTCTCATTTTTCAACTGGTGCCCTTAGGGCTTCTTAAAGTCAAGTAAGAGGTCCGGCTTCTCATCCTTCATGTAAAACCAAACTGTACAATTAAAATTTCAGCACTTTAATTAAGTCTATGAAAGTCCACCAAATTAATTTGCAGCAGCAAAATAAGATGAAATTATGTAAAGCACAGGGATCAATTTATCATCCCATAACTCATGATGAATTCAACAAGCTTTCCCTTCCATGTCTAGGTGACAGCTATTAAAATCTAGTTGTCTGACTGCATTATATGAGAAATGGGACTTTCTTTTACCCCCAGTCTTCTAAAGACCTAGAAACATATTCTCTCCACGGATGAAAAATGGGTTTTGCTGCCAGCAAGGTTTGGGAGAAGAAGTGGGATGCCAGGGGGCTGAAGGGACATCAAAAGAGCCTGAGACCCTCAGTGCCACAACAGCTCCACAGGCTACCTTCCCACGTGGCCTAGGTGCCTTATAGGCAGGGTGAGTTCCTAATCTACTAACACCTCTTGGTTCGGGGCAAAGTTTCCCTCCAGCTTTGATCTTCTCTTAGGCTTCTCTGTCTCCAGGATCAGGCTACTTGAGGACAGAACCTTCTGATTAATGTGTCAAGAGCCATAGACTCTCCTTAATAGACAGTCCCTTTACTTGCTGGAGGCACAGACACAGCCTTGGCAGGAGCTGCCACAATGTGTTAAGTCACTACTAAAGTCACTCCATAATGACTGTAAATGCCGTAAGACAGAAGTGCCTGGATTCATTGCTTCGAGGACCGCCCGCAATGTCCCCTCTGCTCTCTGGCCTGGCGGGTCCCTGTCCGCCAAGCATCTGTGGCAAGAAAGCAAAAAGGCAGATGCCTCCAAATCCAAAATGGAACTTGAACCTCCAGATGATGGTTTTGTTTTATGACACACTTGACTGCCTACTCACGGGTGTGAATCTGTCGCCTCAAATGGTTTTCCAAAGCAATTTGCTAAAGTGGATCTTTAAAAACACGTCAGGATGAATCATTAAAACACTTCAAGATGACAATACCCCTGGAAGACAGAAGATGCTGAAGCAAATAGAAGGCATCTTATCTGCCTTCAAATAAGTGGAGAAATGTAAGCCTCAAGGCCCCAGAAATGGTTTCCCTATCAAGTCCCTGCCAGGAGTCCCTGAGAATCTCCCCACCCCCTCACTGACCAAATCCGTTTTTAAAGGGGGTTGATCAGTATCTTTTACAGTGTCTCCAAACCCACTTGCACCTGAAATACAACCTGAGTGGTGCTGATGTATCTTAGGAACCTCAAGGCTTCTTCATCCAGGGACTGAGCAGGGCCTGCCCATGGCTGGAGATCTATATGCCACCGGGTGCCCTGTAAAAGATAGAAAACAGGTCCATGTGTAAAGGGTCGAGGCACTGGGGGTGGGAGTGGGAAGGACACAGAGCATCAGCTGGGGTGCCTGGCTGCTTCTTGTCTGCAAAATGAACGTGTCTGTGCACAGGTCGTGGGGAGCCCATTCGGAGCTGCTGTCTTTACAGTCACATCAGTCCCGGGGAGGCAAACAAGGCCTGAGAAAGCCCAGCCACCTGGTAAGCAGAAGACTGCAAAGACCTGGGGACGTCTTACAAACTCCACTTGACCCCGTCAGGCTCTCTCCTGCGGCTTTGTGTTACCCGTGCCTCTCCCCCATGTGAAGAAAAGCTCCCCTATCTACTACAGTTTCCAAAGCTTAAAGCTTCAGAACCAGGTCCCTCCTGAAGGGCCAGTCTTGCTGCTGAGGCACAATGCCTGAAGTCCTTCGGGTGCTTGGGTGCCTTCCCCAGCACAGGCAGACGAGGGCGGCACCGCTCAGTGTTCTAGATCTCAGCGTCCCTGGCATCTGGGACTGTGCACTTGCAAGAGAGGACCCCGGGGCTGTCACCACCAGTGCTGACAAGGATAGCCTTCCAGCAAGGGGCTGCCGCCTTTCGGCAGAGGACATGAGGAGCCCCCATGAGCACAGCAGTGAGAGATGAACGCTAGGCCCCCTTTTGTAGCAAGGGTGGTGGGAAGGATGAAGGGGTGGGGGGTCGCAGTGGTCTGGAAGAAACTTAAGTGGGATCCCTTCAGTCAAAGGAAGCACTAGTCATGAAGTCCTTCCTAAAGCTCCAAGTCCGCCACCTGTACTTCTCACCACTTAGAAACCTCCCAGAGGCTCACTGTGATTGTCAGGGGGAGAATAGGGCTCAGGGTACAGGGTGGGGAAGCGGGTCGGGGGAGAGAAGCCCCAGCTGCTGGCAGGGTGCATGTCTGAGTCAGGAAAGACTCTGGGTGTCCAGGCACAGGGATTCCCGCAGTGCTTAGCCTGGGCTTTTAAACCCCCTTTTACGATGAGGAAGGAGACAAGGGAAGGTTCTGGGGACAGATAAATGGGCCATTCATGCATACACGTTGTTCTTCACTCAGGTATTGCCATGGTCTGAATGTGTGTGCTCCCCTCCCCCATATTCATAGGTGAAAATCCTAATGGCCAAGGTGATGGTATTAGGAGGCAGTGCCTTTGGGAACTGCTTAAGTCATGAGGGTAGACCCTCCTGAACGCGACTAGTACTCTTACAAAAAGACCTCAGAGAGTTCCCTAGCCCCTTCTGTCATGTGAGGACCTGACGAGAAGGCAGCAACCCAGAAGAGGACCTTTACTGGAAACCAGCTCTGCTGGCACCTTGACCCTGGACTTCCAGCCTCCAGTACTGGGAGCAATAAATTCTGTTCTTTACAAGCCACTCAGTCTGTGCTGTTTTGTTATGGCAGCCGGAACAGACTAAGAGTAGGTATTACAGCAGGAACTGTCTGTCTCCTCCACCACCCCCCACCCCCCCCGGCAAAGAATACCAAAACAGGCTAGCCCTGATATGCTTTAGTGCAAATGTGGGGGGTTGCCCCTGATGGGGTGGCCTAGGTGACCTGGGGTTAAAAAGCTAAGAGGAGTCAGGGAGCAAGCAGGTTAGTCAGTATCAAGCCAGGTGTGTGGGCTTAGGCTCGAGGTTCCCGCCCTGGCATGGGGGGTCTGAGGTAAATGCGAACACTTTTTAAGCAATAAGCATTATTCCAGGTTAGATGCAATTAGCCTTATATCGTCGCACAAAGCCCAAGAGCCCACAGTCTTACCATCCAGACAGGTCTGTGCCTCCCTGTGGTAGCTAAGTGCCCTGCAGTCCCCTAGACTTAAGGAATCCTCACTGATTTCCCACAGGCTGCCTTATTCTCAGCTGCCAGTTTCGTGGGCACGCAACGTATGCGGTCTTAGAAGGGCCTGTGCTTGGGCGCCTGGCTGGCTCAGTTGGTGGAGCATACGACTCCTGACCTTGGGGTTGTGAGTTCAAGCCCCCATGCTGGGTACAGACATTACTTAAAAATAAAATCTTAAAAAAAAAACTTATTTTAAGAAGGGCCTCTTCTTGGCTTAATGCTCTGCTGACACTGTCTTGATATCCTTTAATACATTTTGAACAAGAGGCCTCACATTTTCATTTTGTACCAAGCCCCACAAATTATGTAGGCAGTCTGCCCTGAGGAGCACCTTTTCTGGGAACACAGCCTTTTCTTAGAGCTGTTCTTGTTCTGTGAAGGCTGAGCAGGCAGTCTAATCAGAGAAAGACTGAGAACATTAATATATCTTCCCAGTTAATGCCTTCCACCAGCCCCCTACTTTTCTTTCTTCTCTGAAGTAGATGCTGGTTACCATGTGGTCAAACAATATTTATTGAGCATAGGTCACTCTCCGCCAGACACTGGTCAACACAGATATGAATAAAACCTGGAATCTTCCAAGAAGTGCCCAGTCTGATGGGGGAGACAGATACTCCGCAGGGAAATGCTGAAAATTAGGGAGAGCAATTCTTTTCAGGAAATAGTTACTTATGAAATCATAAATTACAAGCACATCTACATATAAACGCCTCCCAGCTTTGCCTGGTCATATTCTTCTTGCATCAAACGACGAAGTGCTTCCCAGGTTGCCACTACCCTCAGCACAGCCACACAGAGAGCTTCAGGCAGGTTTGTCTAGGCCTGGGGTTTGAACCTCCCCATGTCCTTATCACACGGCCACTCACAAGTGCCCCAGCATCTGGACCAGGAGCCTCTTGATAGAAATGATGAAGTTCACACATAATGGCCTTCCTCCAAATCAGGGGTCAGTAAACTCTTTCTATAAGGGGGCAAACAGCAAATATTTTAGGCTTTGCAGGCCATACAAATTCCTCGCCTCCTGTTGGAGCTCAAAACAGCCACAGACGGTAAGTAACCCAATGGTCATGGCTGTGTTCCAATGTAACTCCACTTACAAAAATAGGTTGCAGGCTAGATTTGGCCCATAAGGCTGTAGTTTGCTGACCCCGTCTATATTTGATTTGAATTTGGAGGCAGACTGGCCTCAAAGAGACCGTTTACTTGAAATAATGCAAGTATGATATCTAGATTATAACTAACTTTGTCATCTGGGTGGCTTGGGCAAATATCAGCCAGGATTCTAGCAGGATACAATAGGCTCCTTCCAACTGGCTAATCTGAGAAAAATTTAATAGACTATTTATAAAGGTGTGGGCAGGGTTTAAGGAAACCGATAATCAATAATGCAGTATCTATGACAGGTAGCACCAGAGAGCCCTTACAAACCCTGAGGCTGAAGGAGCAAGAGTAAGAGGAATTTATGGATCCCAGAGAGGGAAACTTTATGGAGAAGGCATTTAAAAATTTTTTTTTATAATATTTTTTTCTGAGAGAGGCAGAGTGAGCAGGGGAGGGTCAGAGAGAGAGGGAGATACAGAATCTGAAGCAGGCTCCAGGCTCTGAGCTAGCTGTCAGCACAGAGCCCCACACGGGGCTCGATCCCATAAACCGTGAGATCATGACCTGAGCTGAAGTCAGATGCTTAACCAACTGAGCCACCCAGGCGCCCCTGGAGAAGCCATTTAATAAAGGAACAAAGCCAGCCCTATCACATCCAGTCATATTATATACACACACCTACTGTCAAAGCCAAGAAAAGGCAGAGGAGAGGGAGTCTATGGTTGGTCCATGCAAAGTCAGCCTCTCGGGGTGCAGAGCAGTTGGAGAAAAGTGGATGGTGGATCTGGAGAGACAAATAGAAGGTCTTCTGCACAGCATCCTTTGGAAAGAAGCAATGGGATTCAACCAGGGAGTCATTCTTTCACTCAGTGGGCATTTGTGCCAGGCTTTGAATCATAACTTAATACAGTTATAACCCAATAAACACAATGAAGTTCTGTAGGGGCTCTGACACAAATCTCTATAGGGTAACGGGGTCCAAAGAGATGGAGGATCTAAATAGAGCTCCAAAATAAATGCCAAAAAACACAAATGCAGATTGTGGAAAGCAGTCTCCACTGCAAGAAACCCAAAGGCTTCATTAAAGAGACACCTTTAAACACAGTAGAAGCCCCTTCACCTGCACTAACACATAAAAATAACTTCACAGATCAATAATGGTGAATCCATAGGGTGAATCAATATGGCAGAACTACAGAATTATCTTCAGAAGCCATAAACGGGATCCTGACTGCAGTCTCCTATTTCTCATTTCCAACCGATTGTTGGCCACAATGAAGCTAAACATGGCAGCTGGAATAGTAACTATCAGTTGAGGAATCTCAGGTGGAGACGTAATAGGAATATACAGCAGAGATGCCTTAGAAGTGCTCTGGCTTAATGCTTTGCTCAAGCTGTTTAAAAAACATTTCACATAAAGTAATGTTCCTGCTGGAATCAGTCTGACAGCAGTTCGTGATTATTACCCCAAGGAAACCACTAGCTTTTATCATCCCTTTCAATTATCATTTGTCTTAATTCTCTGGTACATACATCAATATTTGTCCTTCCAAACATCCCACAGACAGAACTCTCTGAGCACCTTAAAACACCAGTGGCCAGTATTTAATAGAACAGGGCAGAAACAAACACGCATTTTTTTTCTTCAAAAAAATGATCATGATTTTACCCCAAACAATTCCCTCAATGTCAGTGTACACTATTACTCATATGCTCCAAATATCAAGTGGCCAGAACGATGCTACCCCCATCACTCCCAGGAGGTGGAAACATGAATTCCCAGTCCTGTCTGCCACCCCCACTTCCTCTCGGGATGGGGAAAGGAGCTGCTTCAGCAGAAGGGAACGGACGTGCTGGCATTTGGGGCTGGTCTGTCTGTCCCCAGCAGACTTGGGCTAAAATGTCAAACGGAGCACAATGAGCTGCCACAAAGAAGTAGCCATCCTCCTGAGCCAATGCAGGGACGAGGGTCCCTCTACTCTTTTGCAGTCCCAGGTCCTGCCCCCTGAGCCACCAGGCCACTCACACAAAGGAGCCCCTCC